TGTATATCATGAGAAGTGTGCCCTATTGGTCCCGTATGCTATCATAGGTTAATGTTCCGCGTGATATTGGGACTGTGCCCTATAGGTCCCATATATCATCAGGGTTGTGCCCTATAGGTTCCCTACATCGCTTGCCAAAAGAAAAGCGTGTCCTAAAGTTCTCGTATATTACGATGACTTTAAACCTATGGGTCTAGTATTGTGACATTTCCCCTATGGTTAATACCAGTTTCACTGGACATTCCTACCTCAACTGGGGTTTATTTTAGAAAGATGCAAATTCATGTGTATACAGTAAATTTAATCTACTCTGTAACATTGCTTATGTCAGAGCAATTACTACTTGTGATCATGTGCGTATTGTACTAGTAAATATATAAGGTTATATACAAAACAGTACACCACCTAATTAATCCGTACATCTCTTGTCCCCGACACCTCATTCTGGTCCTCACCAGTCAGGACTTGCACATGTTTCTTTTTTCATTTTATCAACACGAATCACTTTTACCCGACCTTTGTGACCACATTTGACTTTGTACGTGACTTCACTGACCTTCCCAGCTACTTTGGAAGGTCCCTGCCATCTACAAGCTAGTTTTTGGCGTTCTTTCCGGTCGTTCGTTGGAAAAGAATACATATAAAAAGTCCCCAGGCTCGTAATCAGTCCAGGCTATTTTTCTTTCATGATAACTCTTTCGGCGGTTCAAGGCTCCCTGTACATTTTGTCGTAAATGCTGATGAGCTTCCTCCATCCGCTCCTCCAGCTGACATTCCCACTGGTTCTGAGGAATTGACTGTATCTGTCTTGGTATTTCAAACATTGTTTTAAATGGATGACCAGAGGGGTGATAGTTTCTCTGCCGAACAGCATCCGATTTGGCGAGTGTTTTGTGGTTTCTTGCTCAGTTGAACGTTAAGCATCATTACATATGGGAGATGATCATCCCAATCTTTTTGTAGACTGTTCACAAAAGCACCCAACATGGTGACAAGTTTGTTTTATTGAAACGCTCCAATCTGATTTGGGATGGTAAGGCGGACTGGTTTTGTTGATCTGAAGGAGTGTACACCTTTCTTGAAACAAGGAGCTCTCAAACTGGGATCCTTAGTCAGAATGTCTAGAAGGAGGCCCTCCGAATCTGCAGATCACCTCCACTACCAGAATGGGCGCCCTGGTGCGAGCTTCCATGTTTGGCATAGCAAAACACTCTGTCCACTTGGTATAGTAGTAAGCTATGACCAGGATATGTTTGTTCCCATTTGTTGTCGTGGGTAGCGCACATAGAATATCTATGGCAATCATCTCCATAGGCATTTGTGCCTGCTTGCTTGGCAATGGATTATTTCGTCTGCTACATTGTGAACACTCCATTATATAGCTTTTTACATCAAGCTGTAAGCCCGGCCAGTAGTACTTCTGTGGTATTCTTGCAAGTGTCTTTTATCGTCCCCAAATGACCAGCTGTCCTGTAACTGAATGTCAACACCGTCAATTTTTCAGAAGCTGGTATAACTATTTGATAGGAGGACTCTGATTGTGGGATTTCGCGGTACAACACACCATTTTGTACCTTCACGGACTCAATTGTGACCATAGTGACTTCATCACCATATACTGGCCAGCAATCTCCTTGAACAACGGTTTACTCCCCTTTTCCACCCAGTCGCTCATCTCCTTTAAATCTGTCTGCATCCTGTTTCACCTGAATTGATTCATCCAGCTGGTTTGTATCATCTGATCCACTCTTTTCTAACTTCTGCTTTGCTGTTTGAATAATCGCCCCAGACTGCTCCTAAAGCGGTTCAAACCCACATTGTTGACAGGGTATTTCGCTGAGACCATCAGCATTTTAAAGCTTTGTTTCAGGTCGGTGTCTAATATCCATATTGTACGAGCTAAACACCTGCAACCAGCGAGCCATTTGTCCTTCTGGCTCTTTGAAATTGAGAAACCAGCGTAAGGAACTATGGTCAGTTTGCACTACGAACTTCTTGCCATATAGGTAATGCTTGAAAGGTACCACAGCAAGCAGCTCCTTCCGTGTAACACAATATTGCCTCTCAGACTTGGTAAGAATCCTGCCCGCATTTGCAAATATTCTTTCAATTCCATCCAAGTCCAGAAAAGAGCACTGCCCCTATCACTTCATTACTGGCATCAGTGTCCAAAATAAAGGGCTTGAGAAGTCTGGATATGCAAAAACGTCAGCATTGACCAAATTATATTTCAGCTTCCCAAATGCTTCTTGGAACTCTTGCGAGCTTGCAAATGCTGCGGCAAGTCTATCGAAAACAGTCTGTGAAGTCTTCATCGTGTCAGCAAAGCACTTCCCAACTACAATCACGTCGTCCAAGTATATTAGGCACATTTGCCATATGAGACCAGCTACCAGTTTCCATAAGCTGTTCAAAAGGGGCTGGTTCTGAGGTTATCGCAAATGGGATAACTGTGAACTCGTATAAACCCGTCTGAGTACTAAAGGCTGTCTTCTGTCGATCTTCCTCACCTAGTTCGACCTGCCAAGATCCATCATTCAGGTCCAGGGTTGAGAAACATGAAAATCCAGACAAGTGGTCTAACGCTTCAATACACAATACGGGATAGGCATCGTGTAGACCGACACTATTGAGCTGCCTATACTCTACACAAAATCTTAGTGGGTCATCTTTCTTCTTTACGAGTACTATGCCAGACGACCAGGGCTAGTTGACTTTTGTATCACCCCTCTTTCCAGCATCTGCTGCACCTGTCGATCGACCTATTCTCGTAGGTGTGCAGGCACTCTCCGTAGTGACTGCTTTATAGGTCTTGCGTTGGCCGTCTCAATACTATGCTTGATTACTCCCGTTCTCCCCAGCTCCGCATCATGCACTGCAAACAGACCCTGGTATCGGTACAGCGAAATCCCAATCTCCTTTACTTGCACTTCGAAGAGGTGTGTGCTTAATTTCTCCAGTAACTGTTGCAGGTCCTCCCGAATATTAATCTTCCGTGATTAATCCTTCGGCTTCATGGCACTACATGTGACTATACCATTTGCTGGGCTAGCAGAAGCTATTGTCGTCCCCGGATAAATGACCTGCGGTTCCTCTTGTAGATTCCTAATCCTTACTGGTACTGTGTCAGAGTTGTCGACCAGTGAGCGACCAACAATGGCTTTGTCGATCGATCAGCCCCTTCAATAACATAAGAGTCTACCTCAGCTCGCGCAAGGGTCTCCTTAATATCACTAGATACTGTTTGGAAAGCAAAACTAACCAATATTTGTATAGCTTGACCCAACTCTGGGAGAGATTTTTGCCCTCTGGCCAACAGCTGTATACGATGGCGCTCATCTTGGTTAGGAGGGTCAACCCCTTCCTCTAATGCTTTTATTAACGAGCCATAACGCTCCTGTCTAGCTTTGGGAAGGTCCCCCACAATTCCATGTGCATGGCCTCGCAAACTTACAGCTAAATAGGCCTTTCTCTGTATTTGTCCACAGAATTATCCCTGCACAAGACTCAAAATGAGAGTGCAAATCCATCCATGGCGTGGTACCATCATATGTTGCTACTTTGACCGAAATTGATTTTGGTCTCACAGGCCTGGATAACTCATCGTCAGTCTCACTATCATCAGAGAGGAAATCTTGCTGATAGCGGAACCTACTCTCCTCCTTGTGACATTCTGCTCACCCTGAAGTACCCCGGGTTGGTGTTGTCCGTAAATCTACCAGGGAGTTCTCAATGCGTTCCTGCTGGTTTGTTGGTTCAGACTCTTATTTTGAGCACTCAGCCATTTCAACTGTTTAACAATTTCGTCATCAGTAGCTTCATTAGAACCTACTGTATAGGACTATTATGTAAACTGGTGTTCCTAAGCCTAGTCTGACTGCATCGACGGACGGCGAGACAGATATCCCGAATCACGAGATCTTGTGTAGTGTCGCTCATCCGCTTGCAGACATCCCGAGCTGTGACTCTGTATCCAACAGCTCCTCGTCTGATCTCATGTTGATTAATATAAACGGTGAACACTCAACAATAATGTTTTACTTCAAACAATATACTAAAGTTCGTACCAGTCACACTGGAGATTTAAGCGAGTCAATATTTTAGAAAGATGCAACTATATACAGATAAGTAAATCTTACTCTACATCTGTAACATGGCCTATGTCTGAGCAATCACTACTTGTGATCATGCAGGGAAGATATACAGAACAGTATCAATGGGACAGTAAATGAACAAGAGCACCGCGAGCGGAACCATGATACGCCCGTCAGACCCTCGGAAGGGTATTGACATATTGGAAGCAGGTAGCTATAGTGACATATGATATTAATGTGTTATTACTGCCACCGTTTTGTTGGTGAGTATGACCTTGCCATTCATTTACTGTGTTTATGGCGCAGGCTATTTTGTGTTTCAGAATTACATGTTCGTGTTCAATGTTGCTATTACTAAAACTAGAACCTTGGCTTTGAGGTTCGTTTTGTAGGAGTGTTGAACAAATAATTAAACAGGTTCTTGCATTTTCGACGGAATGCCCTTATTTGGCAATGAAAAGGGGGCATATCTCTGCCGAATAGCGTTTAAATGTCACGATTTAAGCACTGAAATGCGAACTCGTTCTAGCTGTATTGGTATGCAATATGTTTACCAAATTTCATCAAGATATGTTCATAAATAAAGGCAGGAAAGCGATGACAAGGAAAAGTTAACGGACGGACATCAGACATCTGACAACGCAGCCCATACCATAATACGACCCTTCAGACGACGGACGTATAAAAACAACTACATATAGAACAACAAAACCACCTAATACGTATCTAACTGAGCGCTCCTACTATTGATCGCTCAGAACGGACATGTGATTGTGCCCTATATGTTCTGTATACAATATTAGGTGCGTGTCCTTTACATGTAGCTTCCATATTATACTGTAGAGTTACGCCGAAGGACTGCATGGTGCCAAGTGAAAGGAATACACAAACCCGAATATAAATTTTCAAATAAATTTATATATACAAATAAACAACAAAGAACAAAGTGCTACAGTATCCAAATTTCCAATGCAGGGCCTTATAGGTGAACTTGAGGTTAATCTTTTAAGTCCTTCTCCTTCAGTACGATTGGAGGGATTTTAACCAAATTCATTCCACAGTATCATTTGGATAAAAGGGACTTATCTTGTAATAACAGAGAGTGATTAAAGGATGATTAAACTCCCTCCCTCAAACTGAAGGAGAAGAATTTTAAAGATTTACCTCAAGTTCCCCTTTTGCCCCTAGGGGAGCCACACCCTCTGTTTATACATAAATAAGTCCCATTTGCTCAATGATGCTCGAGGCTAAATTTAGTCAAAATCTATTGAGTCGTTCAGAACTAGTCGCGGTGTCAAGGAAAAGTTGATGGACCGACAACGGCGCCACGTGGACAGATGAGCTAACTAGAGACCAAGGGGAACCTTTATGTGAAAGGGGGCAGGGGAGCTTCCAAAATTGCCCCTCCTTTGATTTCAATTTTCTTTTGGTGAGGTGTATACCTAAACCTTGTCACAACAAAAACACCCATTAAAATTCAAATTAGTACTTGGTTCGTTTTTCGTAGAAGCATAAACCTGAAATTCTTAAAAAGCCGGAGTTTTCCCCCATAAGACTAATGTTGTCAAACTAACAATGCATTGAAGGATCATTTATAATGCAACAAAAACTACGGATCATATATGCTGCAGTATACATGTCTTTTGCTATGGCGAGTTATCAGATATTTACAGACAAATCAACAGTCGAAAGTGTGTTCATCCAAGAATAACTTCTGTATACAAAAAATATTTTAATTATAGGACGAGGTCATGACTACCAGTGACAAAAATATCAATCCAAAATATGTGGTGGAACATATTCAAAGAAGGGATCAAATAACCATATGGTCTATGCATCAGAATTCATGGATATGTGTATAGTCTAATCATTATGACTGAAAACTTATTTGTTCCAGTTTAGATGGAATGAATATCTTATCAACAGAGAACATGTTTGGAAAAAATTCGTTGGTTTATTCCTTTTCACGCTGGTCATTCTACTGCCTAATCAGTTGTCAAATTCCAAGACAATTTTCTTGCAATATCAATGGAATTCAGATTCCAGAGATTGTGCGTTTGCTTATTACTTTGGTTTTATATATTTATTAAAGTTTGACACCGTTTTACAGCTGATGACATTTACAGATAATGTTTTGCAAGATGCAAGAGTATGAAATATGTTCGAATGAAAGACTTGGAAAAAGGAAGGAAGCCAATGATGCGAGGTTTTGAGTTTGTTTTCAAGCTGGAGATTCTAGATTCACAAGAAAACAACTTATTTCAAGCTTTGTCGGAACTTTTTAACTATTTGAGCCAAACAGTTTGTTTTTGCAAGTAGAAACTACATTTGATGCACGAGTCCTCTGTATTTTCTGTCAGTTTCCGGTTAATTGAGGTTCTGAAAATATCCAATGCTTAAGACAGCCATGAAAAGACTCTACAATCCACGAGGATTTAGTAACTGTTCTGTCAATGTTAGCCTGCAGATCAGAGTGTTGTCTCTGACCAGCCTTAAGATATGAGTGCATACTGGTATTAATACCAGATGCCTCTAACATTGGCAGGACATCTCTAAAACCACGATCAACGACTACATTGTCGTCTTGCTTCGACCATGTGAGCTTGTCTATGATGTTTTTGTGATGCTTGCTTTATTTTGCCTTCCGGAGAATGGTCCTACTGTGTCCAAAATGTAGCCATCAGGTAGAGCTGTGCTCATGAATTTAAATTAGTTACGCTGCTTCTGGCCAACGTACGACATTCTCTGAAGCTTATGATCAGCACCTTTTTTTTATATAAATATAGGTACCATCTATTAAGGCTGTCACTTTGTCTCCAAAATATGTTTCTGAGAATAAAGTATTGTGTGAAAGTACATGTTCCCTACTCAAATGGTCAGGTCAAAGGAACACTGGAATTATAGATATATTCAATGCTTGTACTACAGAATGAAAGGTTTTTGAAACACAAGGCAGGGAAATGCAAAAAAGAGCGGAACACTTAATTAAGTGATACCAGTCTTTATCTTAACCCAAAAACAGTAAAAGAGCATTTTGTGTAGTTAGAAAGAAATGGGTCAAATTACGTATGATTCTTTGATAAGATGTACGACACTTCTAAAAGGTCATCAATTATTTCAGATGATCTACTTCATAACTGAGAGTTCAATGACTCTCTTCCTTATAGGATAACCTGTGTACAAGGGTTTAAGTCATTGTCAATAAGATGAAATGAATTCATATTGTTAAACCAAAGACAATATTTTATATGTGAACAGGATCCGTAAAACAGGTCCTTGATTGTTAAGAAAAAGACTACTAGTGGTTTCATCTTCAAAACGTTAGAAAATACGTTCCCTACTTAAATGGTCAGGACGAAGGAACACTGGAACTATAGATTTATTCAATGCTTGTACTACAGACTGAAAGGTTTTTGGAATACTAGACAGAGAAATGCCAAGACCGAAACACTTAATTACAAAAGATATCAGTTTTTATCTTAACCCAAAACAGTTAATGAGCATTCTGTGCAATTTGAGTATATACTGAAGAAGAAAGAAATAGGGCAAATTACATATGGATTTTGAGAAACTGTTCTTTGACCAAGCTGTTCTAGCTTTGCAGCCAGGGTCATCCAAGAGACAAAAGTGAAGGCTGATTGATTCTTTGACAAGATGTACGACACGTCTAAAAGGTCACCAATTATTTCAAATGACACCTTCATAATTGAGAGTTCAATGACTCTCTTCCTTATAGGATAACCTGTGTACAAGGGTTCAGGTCATTGCCTATAAGATGAAATGAGCATACACGTGATGACGCAGAACACCACAATTTGTTTGTGAAAATTAGCTGATGACGTTTTTGAAGACGTGTGGATTTGCTTCCCTTCGAATTCAAATTGTTAAAACAAAGACAATATGTTTTTATGTGAACAATACCCGTAAAACAGGTCCTTGATTGTTAAGAGAGAAAAACTTCTAGTAGTTTCATCTTCAAAACGTTCTGTTTCAGATTCTTTTTAGCGCAGATACCTTATAAAGCACTTCTTCATTTGAAAGCCATTTATATTATGGATTTTTTTTTATTACGTTTCATGTACCTTTACATTTACGAGATTTCACGAAGATACGATGGCGACCTTCAACAATACATTTACTCGTCAATATGAGATGAATATTAACAAATGAGTATGAAATATCCCCTAAAAGCAATGTACAAAAAACGAAAGTCTGACGATAAAATGTATAAAAAATGATAACAAAATGCACAAGAACAAATTCTAAAATGTGACAAGAAAATTACATTTGATCTCAAAATTTTTAAGTATACATCGAATCTGGTGACATCAAAGCCTCTTGCAATAAACATGTCGGCTTGTACAACGTGTTCAGAGTTATAACAAGTGTAGGGGACTCTGCAGTTATACTTCCAGTCCAGCTTAAATGAAAGCGTAGTTTTAATAAGTTATTTGTTCAAATTAACTGACTCTCACTAAAACGCACAAAATAGAACATGTGCCGATTTTTTTAACATCAACACTTCCTTTTACATTGTATATTTGTATATTTTAATTTCTTTTTGAAGCACTTACTTTTCTTCTAGCTTCTAAAAACGCTTCAAACTTTTGCTTTTTGGCACTTTCTTGTTTCTGAATTTGATGCCTAGCACGTATTGACTTGACATTTTCGAAGTCATGCTGAGCTTCATGGTCTGAATCACTGTAAGGACTCTCCGATTTACTTGTAGAATTACTGACAGAACCACTGTTAGAACAGTCGTCAGAACAGTCGTCAGATTCATGTTCAGAACCACTGTCTGTTTTGTAGGTGCCTGCTCCACATGCAGGCACTGGAGATTTGAACAGGGCTTGAACAACTCCTGGCTTCTTTGAATTTTCCACTGTCATTTCCATGCTGTTGTGACATTTATTTTCTACATTAGTATTGGCATTTTCTATATCACTATTCCTACAGTGTTGTAACTCATTTGCTGATGTCCCAGTGCTGTGGTCTGAATCACTGCTGCTCACTATCTGGGAGTGTTGCCGCTTTGCCCGACCTGACTTGGACCTCCACTCACTAGAGGTCTCGACACATTGTTTGTAGTTGTCAACACCTGATGAGTATGTGTCCCCATGTCTGTCTCGACCATACTTTACCAGTCCAGTGCTATTATTACGGTTTTTTACATCTGCTGCTTTTCCTTCCACGTCAGACTCGCTACTCATGCTAGCTGTATCAAGTATTTTAGGGTGATAGCCTCTTATCCTGTGATGCCTTCCTCTTTTAACAGCTCCTTGTATCTGTAAAACAGCAAATATAAAAATATAAAAGATCAAAATTTGCCGAGTATCCCAGGGACAGCACAATGTCTGCCTGCGTCATGTTATGTAGTATCCATTTAAGCTGCATAGTTAACGTCTTCACATCAGGTAACATTACTCATTTAGTCTGAATAACCTCATGACAGTAATCAAATGTAGTATGTAATACGTGAAGCAAGTTATAAATACAATGGATATGAACTAGTGGTTCTTAACAAAAGATATATTATGTACAGAATTGTGACATATGTATTATATAACTGTAGCAAGTCATTTATTTATATAACGTGTGAGAATCTTAGATAATTAGTATACCAAGAAAGTTAAATCAAAATTAGTTGATCAAGATTCCTTAAAAACATATCTTGTGTTGTCATCTTTATCAAACTGGTTTTTACTTCTATCATCTATTATCCGTGATATTTACAGTGCTTGTACTGTCTTTCGACCTAACAAAAAATATGATAATGTCAGTCAAACTTCGGATTCGTCCAATACCATCTATTCATCGGACTATTGATCTGGCCCCTACGAGTTTGAGTGGAGTTTAACTGTAACTATATAATGTACCTTCTGATGATGTGATTTCCTGTTACCATTGGAGTCGTCTTCCTCGCTATCTGACACTTTTCCATCAGAGTCGTCTTCCTCGCTATCTGACACTTTCCCATCAGGGGCTATAAAATCATCTGTATCCGATTCATCTTCTTCCGAGTAACAAACATCTTGGTTATATCGGTGGGTTCTGCCAAAAATATTGTTTGTTAAGATATTTATAAGAAAGGCTGATCTCCTGAAAGATGAAAAAAACTAATTCCAATAGCTGGGATCATTACTGTACATGTCAACGTCTGGACACTCCTCGGACGGACAAATACCTCGGAGGAATGTCCATGAGAGGGATAAAAGCATGAGTAATTTTCGACGGCATTTCTATAGCTTCATGTCTTGTTGGAACACTGTTTTATCAATTACATTACCTTTTATCAATCTGTGAATTTACACTGTAAACTGCTGCCTTCCTGAATTAACCACTACAGTAGCCTGACGAGTCACACTCATTACCGTAGTTATTATGTTTACACAACCAATGTCTGATGGTCAGGGACTCTATAGGGTAACGAGAGGTAATTAGTGCAGTTATAGCACAAAATGATGTAGAGCGCCCCCTGGAAGCTGTTTGCTTTCACCTACTTATAATATAACATACACTAAGGATGATACATAAACAATATCTTAAAAAGAGGCCCAGAGGGCCTGAAGGTATCGCTCACCTGGATCTCTATGCCCAGCAATGGTATATATGGCTATGAGTTCAGGATCTCAACCATTTCAAAGTTATGACAATGAAGTTAAGTCACTATGGCTAGGGATGGAGTCAGACATACAAAGAATCAGTACTTATATCATAATTGTGTTTGTCTCTTGATTTCGCGCAATGGTATATATGATTATGGGGTGGAGATCTCAACCATTTCAAAGTTATGACCCAATAATTAAGTCCCTATGGGTGGAACCAGACCCCGAAGTCAATTATTAAATATGACTGTGTTTATCTCTTTATGCCTATCAAATATACATATTGAAATGAGGTAGGGATTTAAACCATTTCAAAGTTACGGTCCAAAGATTAAGTTCCTAGAGGTGAGGCCAGACCCAAGTGTCAATACTAATATCATGAATGTGTTTATCTCTTGATGAAAAGCAATGGCATACAATGTATATGGTAATGGGGTTGCGATCTCAATCGCTTACAAGTTATGGCTCAAGAATTAAGTCCCTTGGGTGGGGCCAGACCACAGAGTCAATTATTATATCATGATTATGTTTGTCTCTTGATACCCAGCAATTGTATATATGGTTATCATATGGGGTGGGGACTTCAACTGTTTCAATGTTATGGCTCAAAAATCAAGTCGCTAGGGGTGGGGCCAGACCCCAGAGTCATTTTTTTTTTATTATAATTGTGTTTGTGTCTTGATGCTCAGCAATTGTTTACAGGGTTAAAGGGTGGGGATTTTGATAATGTCCATGTGAAAATTTCTTATTTGCCCTGCCCCTCAGACCCAGGGGTTAGTTATTCAACTGACGCAATTTTGAATCCTTAACCACTGAAGAATGCTCCAAACCAAATATAATTGATATCCATCACTTTTTTCCTGAGAGAAAGGCGCTTTCATGACCAAATTACCCTTTTTTGGCAGAGAAGGATTTTAAACATTTTCCCGTTCTACCTAATGGGCCCCGTCCCACTGCCCCCAGGAGAGCCACACTCTCCATCTATACAAAAATGAATTTCACTTGCCACAACCTCTGTGTATACAAAATTTGAATTCCCCCTGCCAAGGGATGATCTACACAAAATTAGTTAAAATCCCTCCATTTGTACAGCAGGAGAAGAATTTTAAAGATTTACCTCAATTCCACTATTGGGCTCCGCCCATCTGCCCCCAGGAGGGCCACACCCTCTGTTTATACAAAATTTAATCCCCTTTGGTTATTGATGACGGACGAAACCAGATCGCATAAGTTCACTTGGCCCTTTGAGAGAACTTAAAACCATTCCCAGAGACCATTTGTGTATTCTACTGAAATTAAGCTTTATCCATGAAAGTCAAACACATTTTTTAAAATACGAAGTATCTGTCAATTTTAATAAATAGTAATGCGACAAATGAGCTAATGTAATGTATATCCCTCATTAACAGACTCACATTTTGGTGAAACTCTTCACAACTCTCCTCGGCTTCAGGCGATATATTGCTTTATTGGATGTTGGAGTTGAAGGAATGCTATTCCAGATACTATCGCGTGATGGCATCTGAAAGGATCTTGAATTTCTTTCGTTTAGTCTTTCAGAACTTCTCGACTCCTGAAGAAGAAATAATGAATGTATAATTAAGGACCATGGCTTTAATTTTCTACCTGGAGTTTACAGATCTTCAATTGAGAACAAGGAGAGAGCCACCAGGGGCAGCATATCCCCCCACAAAGTCATGTCCAGGATTTTAAATGCTATCATAGATTTGTGTACGAGAAGGGCAGGAAAAGTACTATAGTGTGCACATGTACATATCAGAACAATCTGTTCAACTCCATGTGGACATGCTACCCATTCTCTTCATATGAAAAGCAGATATATATATATATTGTACAATCATCCATTTACAAATAACACCAAGACGAGTGGAGTTTATCTGCTAGGGCTATCGATTCATCATTCAGAGAAGCCATATGCTAGTTTTAGCAACTGTGATGACTTTAACCTCTGGTGGACATGTACAACATCCAAATCAATACTTTTGTTATCTACTTTGTTCACCCATTCTTTCCCTAGTTATTTTCTGGACAACCACCACCACCACAAAGAAGATTTCTATTTTTAGCAATGGTGACCTTGATCTAGGACAGACCATGCCCAAAAACAACAGGGTTCTCTGTGTTAACTAAGGCAAACCAAGCACCAAGATTGAAATATTTGTATATTAAATTGTTCCAAAATTGTTCTGGACAACCAAAACAAAGAAGAATTCAATTTTTAACAACTGTGATTTCGACCTGTGTCTGACCATGCTCAAAACAGAAGGGTTCTCCCCATCCTCTAGGGCGACCCACACACCAAGTCTGAACTTTGTACAGAGAAATCTCGCCTAACGACCACCTTGATATAACGACCATAACGCTATTGCAGGCACTTGTTTTCTGTTCCATTTTCTCTCTTCGTTTACAGTGGATTGGTCACTTCAGTAAATATGAACACCCTGCTATTGTTAATGTTAATGCATAAAAGGAAACCAAGGATTTTTGTTTTATATTGTATAAACATGTACCTGTAGACGCGTCATACATGTATATGCCTGCACGGTTGCTCCGTACAGATCCATACTCAGTTATGTTTTTTATAAATCTGAAGCAATTAGTGTGATCTGCTATCTTACGTTGTAATTGTCATTGATTCTAATATTTTAAGTAGTACTAGGCCTAGTCATTGGTTGCATGCTATTCATGTTATCTCTTTCTCATTGGATATTGATGCCCCTTGCTAGGGCATTTATACTAAATCAAATGTATATATTATGTAACAGGGTTTGTACAGGCCTTGAAAAGGCCTGTCCCTCAACTGAGGAATAATCCTGCAGTTATGCGACGTAACCTGGTTCACAACATGCGTATGAGAGAAACTCCACAGTACCAGTGACTTTATTCATTGACTTCAGTGTGTAGCTATATATATATAGTTAATGGGATTATCCAGTGCAAATGTGACAGGTGAGCATGATTTTTTTTTTCTGTGTGCTATTTATAGCTACTAAACAATACAACACACTATAAGCAAAGGAGGTGATACAATTTGTCTTTTTCATAAAGGTTAATTTATAGACAACTGAATTAACACATTTTTGTGCACAATTGTACCTCATTCTTATAGAATGGTTTGATTTTAATGCTATGAAGGCCAATCCAGAGAAATTCCAGGCAATATGTTTTGGCAAATTTTAAAAGACTAGTAACTCTATCAAATCTTTTAACATTGAAAGCCTTGAGATTATTTGTGAAGACAGTGTGAAACTCTTAGGTGTGGATATTGACTTTCTTCTTAAATTTGATGTACATATATATGCTCCAGACTAAATTAGGATAAAATCCCTTAATCCCTATGGTAAAAGAATGATTTTAAAGGTTTTACCTCTATTTCCCCTATTGGGCCCCGCCTCTCTGCCTCCAGAGGGGTCAGACACACTGTTTATACAAAATTGGTTCCCCTTCAGCCAAGGGTGCTTCATACCAAATTTGGACAAAATCCTGTCATTCCTACAGAAGTAGAAAGATTTTGAAGAATTTGATATGTTTCCCCTATTGGGCTTCTCCTTTCTGTCCCCAGGGGGCCACACTCACTGTTTAAACGAAATTGAGTCCCTTTAGCCCGAGGATCCTCCAGACTAAATTAGGATAATATCCCCTATGGTAGAAGAAGGATTATAAAGGTTTTACCTCTATTTCCCCTAATGGGTCCTGCCCCTAAGGTCCCAGGGGGGCCACACCTACCGTTTATACAAAATTGGTTCCCCTTTACCCAAGGTTGCTCCACACCAAATATGGACCAAATCCTTTCATTCCTACAGAAGAAGAAGGATTTTAAAGAATAATTTGCTATGTTTCCCCTATTGGGTCCCGCCCCTTAGGCCCCAGGCTGGCCAGACCCAGTTTATACAAAATTGGTTCCCCTTCACCCAAGGATGCTTCAGACCAAATATGGAACAAATCCTTTCATTTCTACAGAAGAAGAAGGATTTTAAAGAATTTGTTATGTTTCCCCTATTGGGCCCCGCCCCTCAGCCCCCAGGGGGGCCAGACCCACGGTCTATACAAAATTGGGACCTCTTCACACAAGGATGCTTCAGACCAAATATGGAACAAATCCTTTCGTTCCTACAGAAGAAGAAGGATTTTAAAGAATTTGCTATATTTTCCCTATTGAGCCCCTCCCCTCAGCCATCAAGGGGCCAGACCCACCATTTATACACCATTCCCTCAAGGATGCTTCTGATTAAACATGGAACAAATCCTTTCATTCCTACAGAAGAAGAAGATTTTAAAGATTTTTGCTATATTTTCCCTATTGGGCCCTGCCCCTCAGCCACCAGGGGGGCCAGACCCACCATTTATACAAAATGTGTTCCCTTCCCCCAAGAATGCTTCTGACCAAATTTGGTCAAAATCTGCTCAGTCGTTCAAGACTAGTAGCGTTTTAAAGGAAAAGTTGACGGACAGATGGACGACAGACGCTGAGGTATGGCATAAGCTCGCCATGGACCTTAAGACCAGGTGAGCTAAAAATTATAAAAAACATCACACACTTCACTCTGTTTGGATACAATGCATTCGTTTTCATTTAAAATAATTTTCTGGTCATTAAAACATTTGTTAGATAAAAAGGGCTTAACAGTAGGCCAAAAATCTTTAGAGGCTGGACCTCCATCCCATCGTTCTTGAAAATAGAGCCTTACAGACTGTCTACAGAGTTTTTCTACATAATTTCTTTGCTTTCTGTAGGCTTCCCATGGCCAGTTAGCAGCTGTTTTGATGCGGTTGTACTTATTTCGTAACATAGCTTTCTTAAAGTCAGCCCTTCTAAGATTACTGTTTAAAAAAGGAGGTTTATTTACACGAGGTTTGCGCTCTTTGTAACACAGTCGGTGTTACGACGTTGCGTAATCGATTATAAATAGCCCGAGAAAGGACAGGTCAGAAAGTTTTGACCAACGGATTCGTAACTGAACTGGTTTATGAGGGTATAGTCGTATAGGTGTAGATGGTCACGTATAGGACATAGCTAATTGAATACAGGACTATTAATCTGATGTGTTTATGTTCCCACTGACCAGCTAGGCATGATTTTGATGGGTTTATGGACCCTAAGGGAGATAATGGCTGGATGCACCTTATGATCCTAGGCCTCAACTGACTAGCTATATATATAGTTACGCCTTTAATAATTAGTTATGAAGGGTTTATGGACCTTGTGATAGATAATGGCTAGAGGCATCCTAGTAACAGGGCAGATGTGGGCATGGGTATAAATGTAACCTAGAAAGGAGATAATAGGAGAAGAGCAGGGGACGGCGAGAGAAGAGGCTAGAATGGCTATATAGGGACGGTTAGAGACTGCACTAGGGTACAGCTACAGACGACAGAGACCGATCCTAACACTTGAGGTTACCAGAATAAACTTTCAACAAATCTTTAACTCTTGTCACTCGTGTTGTGTTACATCTTTAACAGGTAAATGTACATCAACAACAATATTATTCTCTACTATTTGAATGAACTTTATGTGTTTTCATTTCACTTTATTCCTCATTTCAGTAAAAAAAATGAATACTGTTACCCATATGCATGATTAGGACTAGGCCTACCTGCTGATAGATGTCGAAGTCTGGTGTCAGGACCAGAGGAAACTCGGGCTAGCCCCTTCTCATATGCGCCGCTGTGCCCAATGCAACCTATTTATAGCCACTCTGCAACACATTTTATTCTCCATTTCATTTATAAATTTGTGACTGTAAACGGTAACTGTTACCCAAAAACAGGATTATTAACTAATATATAATATATATATATATATACATGATATTAGTGTGTCCAGCACCTGTGGTGCTCATCCTGTTCGACTTAGCACTGTTACAGTATATGGCTACTATGTATACAGTACTAGTACTGCTACCACCTAGGGATTAGAAACCAACCGTATGTAATGCAATATCCTCAGCATTATCCCAGTCCGAGTCTGTTTCCTCTAATGCTGTGACACGCTTTTTCTTTTTCTGTGATGCCGAGGATAGTTTACGCACGGAAGGCCCTGAATCCTCATCACTGGACGAAGAAACTCGTCGAGATTTACTCAACTTCCTTACGCGGTTGGAGTCCATGTTGTTTTTATGTTGTTTTGATAATCAGAGTAGCGCGGCGAGGGGCGTCTAATTACCCAATACCACCCAATACTACCCAATACCACCCAATACTACCCCATACGACCCAGTTATGAACCAAATACTTCTTTATTACTGTGAAATATCACCTTTGTAGACGTTATTTACTTCCATCTGCCATATTTTATCGGGAAATATGCGATTTGGTGCCGAAAACATCACCGAATTGCCGTGACTATGACCCAATAC